GTACCCAGAGATGAGGGAGACAGCAGGTACCCAGAGATGAGGGAGACAGTACGTACCAGGCCTGAGCCAGCCCACAGTACCTCAAGGCAGTGACCTAAAAGGACAGTTCCTGTAATCTCCCTAAAACGTACCCTGCCTTGCCCAAGTATACCCCCAAAAGGTAAAACTATAACCACAGCCAATTAAAAATGTACTAATGTAGCCACAGCCTGCCTAATCAATTTTGTTTGAGATGACCTCGCTTTTCCTAGATTTCCCTAGCTGAGCTTAAAAGGGACCTGCGTGCCCCTTTCAGGGAACATTTTGTACAAATGGTAGATACCCGCCCCCCCATAGGCTGGAATCAATGCTGCTTTCATGTACTATTTGGGTCTGAGGTTTTCAGCAATTCTCGGGCCCTTACAGGTGCTGGGTCTTCTGTGATTACAGCAGGCACGCAGTACTGCTTAGCCACCTCTCCAGTCCACACTTTATTTTTTGAGACACAGTCTCTCCAGGAACCTGAGCTCACTGACTGGCTGCTCAGTGAGTTCCAGGGATCCACCCATCTTTGCCCTCTGGGTGCTCAGGATTTGAACTCGGGTGCTCCTGCCTGTACACCAGACACCTGACACACTGAGCGTTCTCCCAGCCTGAGAAAAGACTTTAAAGCAATAATAATTAAAACATCCTGGTAGTTGAGTACAAAGAGAAGGACAGGACACAGTTTGAAGACACCAGAGGCACTGAAGTTAAAAGTTAACCCATGACCAGGCACTGTAGTGCACACCTTTAATCCCAGCACTCGGGAGGCAGAGGCAAGCGGATCTCTGTGAGTTGGAGGCCAGCCTGGTCTATAGAGTGAGATCCAGGACAGCCAGGGCTACACAGAGAAACCCTGTCTGGAAAAAACAAAAATAAAAAAGCAAACAACAACAAAATGTTCCCACATTGGCAGAGGTGTGCCTCAGCCCTGGCCCAGGCTGGCCTCCAACTCATGGGCTCTAAATGGGACATCTCCATCAGCACAAAAGGCTCAGGAGCATTACGGGGAGGGGGGGGGCACGGGAAGAAGGCTGTAGACACGGCATGACCGCCACAGGCCGCAGAAACATGAAGCAGGAATTCAGCTGACTATAGCAAAAGCCAATACCTGGAAGAAGCAGGGCTCTTCCAGAGGAAAAAGCCAAGCCTCAAGGAGTCTTGGTGATATTAGCTCTTAAATACATTTTAGCTGGTTCCTGCAATGATTTTCTTGTATGCGGTGGTAGCTTTCTTAGCTTCTTCTAAGAACTTCTAACAGGGCTGGAGAGATGGCTCAGAGGTTAAGAACACTGGCTGTTCTTCCAGAGGACCTGAGTTCAATTCCTAGCACCCACATGGTGGCTCACAACCATCTGTAATGAGATCTAGCTCCTTCTTCTGACCTGCAGGGATACATTCAGACAGAACACTGTAACATAATAAATAAATAAATCTAAAAAAAAAAAAAAAGAACTTCTAACAGTGTATTTTATCTGAGTTACCTCTCAAACATCCAAAGACAAATGGCAGACAGAATAAGCATTTCAGACCACCTGCTGGTCTCCTGAATTAAGGTAAATATCTATGCAGAGACACCATCTACGCCAGGAGGACAAGGCTGGCATTAGATAGTAGCTTTGTATCTTGTACAAATTAAGCTCAGACCCTCCTTTCTACCTCAGGCCAAATGGTACCTCAGACTCCCCCTCCAACAATTAGCTCAACCAAAGGGCTTTTTGTCTCACCAGGTGCATTCAAGCTATGATGCGGGTTTCCTAGCTACTGAGCAGACTCACCCCATCCTCCCAGAAAGTGGCCGGGCAGAGTATTGCTGATGGTATGGGTGGGGAAATGGGTCACAGGAAGGAGAAAGGAACAAAGATGGAGATAGGAATGAAGAGAAGATGAGAACGAGATGGAAAGGACTCAGATAGGACTATGAGAGGACAGGAGGAGAGGGGACAGGGAGGAGCTAAGTATGAGAACAGAGGTGAAGCTGTGTAGATAGAATTTTGTCTTGAAGAATAATATTCTTTGTGACAGACACCCTGGGGATTGTCCTCGGGCTGTGCTGGCAACGGCAGAAAGAAACAGAGAAACAGAGAGACTGTGCGGAGGGAAGAGAACAGAAAGAGAGAGTGCGGAAAGGAAGAGAACGCACAGAGGGCAACCCGCTTTTTAGGCTGGGACACCGTCGCAGGCTGGTGACGTAATTAAGGACAGAATCCTTACAGTTTTGCTTTGTTTGTTTCAAAACAGGGTCTCTCTATGTATCCCTGGCTGACTTGGATCTCGCTCTGTAGACCAGGCTGGCCTCAAACTCATAGAGATCTGCCTGCCTCTGCCTCCTGAGTGCTGGGTATTCCCAGCTTGGTTTTTGTTGTTTTTGTTTGTTTGTTTTTCTTTTTGGGTTTCTTCTGGGGGTGGGGAGAGGGGTTGGGATTTTGTTGTTGTTGCTGTTGTTTTGGTTTGGTTTTTTTGCGACAGGGTTTCTTTGTGTAGTTTTGGAGCCTGTCCTGGATCTCACTCTGTAGACCAGGCTGTCCTCGAACTTACAGAGCTACACCTGCCTCTGCCTCCCAAGTGCTGAGATTAAAGGCGTGCGCCACCACCACCCAGCTTGCTTTTCTTTTTTAATTGTCACTTTTGGAGACAGGGTCTGCAACTTGGTAGCCAAGGATAACCTTGAACTTCTGATCTTCCTGCCCCACCTCCTGGGTGCTGGAAATACAGGCCTGGCTATCTCCCAGCTTGGGGATTATTTTGGTGACAGAGGAGGTACAGGTGTGTGTTCCAGACCAACAGAAACATGGAGGCGGAGAAAGGATGTGGGTTTCTACTTCCTCTCTTGTTTTCCAGAATCCCAAAGTTTCACAGATGTAAAGTGGACCAGGTGGGAAGAGTGAGGGAATTTCAGAACGGCCCAAGAGACACCCTCCCGAGTCAGTGTTATACTCTCCCAATCACTTACTGCTGCATTTGATTACTAATGTCTGGCTTCCAGCTATTTCTGAAGAGCACATGAGTACTGTTACTGATTAGTTATGTCTGTCATGACCGGTTTATGGGGATTGGGATGTTTGCTAAAATGCCACCCACTTCTCCCACTCCTCTGTTTGGGTAGCATTCCTGTGATGGCAGACAGAATGAGGGCACCTCCACCTACCCTGACACACTCACCACAAAAGCTGGTCCTATGGATGTTTTCTGGCAGCGTTCAAGTTCTTCTAAGCAGAGTTCTGTGGTCAAGTGGTCAGTGGCCTGTGTGTTCGGGACACCCCACCTCAGATCAACCACCTGGGAATAGAAGGGTGAGGTTTCTGATGACTCATTTGTTCTATAATTTCATTCGACTGAAGAAGTTTCCCCCAACCTGTTTTGTTGCATCTCTCTTCCAGGGAGATTCTAGATTAGACAAATCTGAGGTTAGGGATGTAGCTAAGTGGTAGGATGCTTGCCTAGAATCTCCCAGTGAGGGGCTGGGGTTGTGGTGTTTGGCAGATGGTTTGCATAATGCACACAATCGATCCCTGGATTCCATTCTGCACCAGAATAAAAGAACAAAAGTGGCGCACGCCTTTAATCCCAGCACTCGGGAGGCAGAGGCAGGCGGATCTCTGTGAGTCTGAGGCCAATCTGGTCTACAGAGTGAGTTCCAGGACAGCCAGGGCTACACAGAGAAACCTTGTTTTGAAAAAAATTTTAAAAGACGGACTGGAGAGATGGCTCAGAGATTAAAAGCATTGACTCCTCTTCCAGAAGACCCAGGTTCAATTCCAAGCACCCACATGGCAGCTCACAACTGTCTGTAACTCAAGTTCCAATGGACCAGACACCCTCACACTGACATATAGGCAGGCAGAACACCAATGCACATTTTTTAAAAAGAAAGAAAAAAATTAAAAAGGAAAAAAACATGGATCCTCAGTGTAATTATGAGAAAAGAAAAGGGTAGATCCACACTGAGGGGGCATCTTTGGCTATCTTCAGGATTCACGGTTGTTCCTCTCTCAGAAGGTCACAGTCATGAACTGCAAGGAAGGACCCTTGGGCTCCAGATGCTGAAGCAGGAGCAAGGATTTTGAGTCCAAGGCCTGTCTGAGTTGCATAGAGACCCTGCCTCAAGGAAGAAGGCAAGAGAAGAGAAAAGAAAGGTTTACTTAAAAACGAGTTTGTGGGCCTGTCTTGGTGGTTGCGAGCTATTGCTGCTCCTTCAGAGATCTGAGTTCATTTCCCAGAACTGCACTGGGTATCTCACAACAGCTTGGAACTCCAGCTCTGGGGATCCAAAGCCCTCTCAGACACCTGCACACACTTGACAAAAAACGTAATAAAAATAATAAACCTTAAAAAAGAAGAGCAGGCTTGCCAGGGCTGAGGCGGTGCCTTGGTTGGCAGAGGGCTGGCCTGGCTACACAAAGCCCTGAGTTTGATGCCCAGCACTGTCCAGCAGCTGGGGCTGGGGCATGCCTTTTATCCCTCTGCTTGGAAGCAGAGGGATCCAGAGCTCAAGATCATCCCTAGCTACATAGCAAGCTCAGTGTCAACCTGGATTTCACGAGACCCTGTTTCAACAACTGAAAAATTCTGTAGGAAGCTGGGTGTTTCTCGCCTTGTTCCTTTTAAAAGGAGAACATGTCCAAGCTTGCTGGGAGCATGCTTTGTGACGGAGGGTATTGAGACCAGCAGGAAGTGACCCAGCCAATTCTCCTTAGCAACCACACACCAGGTCTACCTCTGGCACTGGCTGGCAGAGAGCTGGGGGAGGCGGAGGAGGGGGTTGGGAGCTGGGCTGAATGGCAGCTGCAGCACTGGCCCCCCGGGGAAGGCTGGAATGACAGGAAGACAAAGGGCACAGAGAGCCGACTCCACCTTTGTCAGTTCTGTAGCCCAGAGAGAGAGAGATGCAAATCCTGAGCAACTACAGCTACAGCAGCAGAAGCTGAGGGGACCCCACAGGGGAGAGGTGGTGAGGGTGCAGCCTCCGCCCGCCCCCCTCCCCCCAGCTAGCCAGGCCCTTGTGCCATCTGCCTGGGGCACCAGTGAGGGCATTAAAGGGACAAGCACAGGGCTTTAGTGAGTCCTCCGAGTGTAAGATTTCCTTCTGTCGCTGTCTTGTTCTGGTGGTGCTGGGGACGGACCCCAGGGCCTCACCCTTGAGAGGCAAATGCTCCACCCTGAGCTATGCCCTCATAGCCTGCTCATTTTATTGTATTTACTTATTTTGAGACAGCATCTCCCTATGTTTCCCAGGCTGGCCTTGAACTCTGGGCTCAATCAATGCTCTTCCTTGACTCATTGTCCTCTTGTCTCTGAGCTTGAATTCTGTCTCTTAAGAAATGACAGGAACAGTGGAATTCCAAACCCAGCTCCTTCCTTATTTCCTTTCTAAAAAAAATGCTATTTGGGGGGTGGGGTAAGGGGGTTGAGACAGGGTTTCTCTGTGTAGCCCTGGCTGTCCTGGAACTCACTCTGTAGACCAGGCTGGCATCGAACTCACAGAGTTCCTCCTGCCTCTGTCTCCCAAGTACTGGAATTAAAGGTATGCACCACCATAGCTGGGCTGCATGTGTTATTATTTCTATAAGTATGTATACACTTAATGTAAACATGAGTGTCTGTGCACATGTGTGCAGTACCCTCAGAGGCCAGAAGAGGGCACTGGATCTCCTGGAACTGGAGTTACAGGTGGTTGTGGGTCACCTAATGTGGGTGCTGGGAACCAAAGTCAGGTCTAATCCAGCAGCAGAAGCCCTCTTGACCACCAAGTCATCCTTCTGGCTCCTTTATTTCTCTCTGTAATATATGTGTGTACATGTTCATGCGTGTGTGTGCACAGAGGTGTGCATGTGCATGTGGATGCCAAGGTCAACGATGTCTGGTATCTTCCTTTGTTCTGCCCCATCTTGGTTTTTGAGACGGGGTCTCTCAGACTGGACCGCATGGCCATCCCGCTCTGGGGTGGTGCCTGTCTCTGCCCTGACCCCCATGTTCAGATTACAGCCACACGCCACTGCACCCAGCTTCTATGTGGGAACTAGGGGTCAAAACTCGGACCATCAAGCTTTCGAGGGAAGACTCCTTTCTCAGGAGTCTATCAAGAATGAGTTGGGCTTTCTGCCCCCTCTGCCACCATGGCACCATAGGAAAGCTTGTGGGGAGGCTGACTTTGGAATTCACCCTTGACTGCACCCTGGAGAAGACAGGAATCACGGATGCTGCCAGTTTCAAGCACTTCCTCCAGGAGAGAGTCAAGGCGAACTGGGAAACCGGGAATCTTGGTGAAGGGATGTAACCGTCGAATGGCTCAAGAACACAAACATTGTCACTCTCAGGTGTCTTTCCCCAAAAGGTATTTGTAGGATGACAGTGTCCAGGGCCAACTGTTGCCAAAGAGAGCTATGAGCTGGGCAGTGGTGGCACTCGCCTTTAATCTCAGCACTTGGGGAGCAGAGGCAGATGGACTTGAGGCCGGCCTGGTCTACAGAGTGAGTTCTAGGCCAGCCAGGGTTGTTACACAGAGAAACCCCATCTCAAAAAACCAAGAGAGAGGGGGGGG